GAGAACTTTGTGGATTGGTGTCAGACATATGGGCTAATGTTGGACTTGTGGGCTTGGGCAGCACTGGGTTGGGATGTTTTCTTTATGTGCACTTACCCTTTATATAAAACTCTCTTATACATGAGTTTCTGTGGATTTGTTTCTCTAAAGTACCCAGACTAACACACCCACCTGGTGGCCCAGGGGACCAAGGGAGCAATCCTACTGTGGCCCTTGGGTTGAAACAGATAAGGCAGCACCTCCGAGACAAACATGGGCAGGTGGACTGGGCGCCGCAGTCTTGAGGGCTCCTGCCCCCTCCCTTTTGGACTCTCTACTTCTGGCCAGTGGGATTGGTGGGCGGCGGTGTCCATGAGACTCCTCATGTCCTCAGTTCGGCTTTCTTGCCCCCTCCAGCAGGAGTCACTGATTCTGGAAACTGCAGGCCTGGACCCAAGCATTTTTAAATGCAGGCTGTGCGATGGGGTGAGGGCAGGGCAGGAAGCAGTCATTCAATTCTTCTGTCAAAACTGGACACCTATCACGGGCCAGGGCTCAGCTGGTCTGCTCATGGGCTGACAAGGTGCTCACCGGGCAGGGAACTGGGCGGGGCGGGGCAGGGAGCTCGGCTCTGTGGGGAGGGCTTCCCTCCTACCTGCTGGCTCAGGCATGTTTCTCCAACAGGTTTACGCTCCTTGCCATCGATATTCAAGTTTTGATGAAGCTCTCCAAACCCAGAGCAAGGAAGGTGGGGACCGAACGAGTGTTGGCACACCCTCACGGTGACCCTCTCCTACAGTCAGCGCCCCGTGAGCCTCCAGGCAAAGCTGGGCCACTGCGCCCTAGTCAGTCAGCCCCTCACCCCCAGTGAGGAAGCAGCATGGCCATTTGTCCAGCAGCTTCACGTAGTTTCCCTCCAGCCACCGTCAAGACAGACATCCGACCTTGGGTCCGGAAACGGGAAAGAACGAGGCAGCCTGGCCGGGATGCCCCTCTTCTGGGTTTTCACCTGGGAAACCCACCACCAACTCTTCTTCCACGATGTGGCCGAGGTTCCCAAGTCAAGCTCCGCAGGGCAAACAGAGCAGCCAGTAAATCTGCCAAGGCCTCGCTGCGGCCGGACGCTGAGACGGGCAGCTGCAGCGGCCGTCAGAAGAACAGTCTTTGTGAGCAGTGAAAACAGCCGTTTGTCCGCAGCTCATCTGTCGAAGCCACACATCGGTGTCCCCATGATGACTGCCGTTGTCAAGCAAGGGGGAGGAGTCCTGGTGGCTCAGTGGTTAAGCACTGGACTGCTCCTCGAAAGGCCTGGGTTCCAACCCACCAGCTGCTCCGCAGGAGGAAGAAGAGGGCAGCTGCCTCTCTAAAGATGTACTCTTGGAAACCCCCCAGGGCCCTTCTACCCACTCCTACAGAGAGACGATGAGCCAGACTGGACTTGATAGCAAAGGGTGGATTCGGGCTAGGTATTCAGGAAGGACAGGAACCAACTCCAGGGCAGTCACATGCTGTAAGGACGTTAGATTTCTCTTTCCCTAGTAACTTTTCAAAGCCCTAAGTTTCAACCGGAGCCCAAGAGAACATGAATTTCCACCCAGGGCTGTCGATGCGATGTAAAGCACACACTGGCAGCGCTAGCAGAGGGTGAAGCCTGCAAAGCCGTGAGCAGCATCACTCTGGCCGGGGGTGAACCCACCACCTGCAGGAATGTGGTTTTATGCCGCGAGTGCCAGCTCACCTGTCTCATAATAAACTCTCCTGCCTCAGACAACACTGAATGGCTGCCCTCAGCCAGGCTAATCTTAGCCAAGAGGAGTCCTGCTATACTGCTGCACACTCACATCTAAACCACACAACTTTCGGAGCAGTTTCCCATCTGGAGCTCTCGCCCAGCCCAACTCGGCCCCTGTCCAGCATTAAGACTATCGAGATCCATGTCCAGAGGCAGATCTGCAGTCCAACCGGTATGCATTTCTTTCTGGAGTGGCACCAAAGCCCCACTTTCATACACCTTGAACACGTTTAATTATCCTGTCCCACATTAGCGGCACCGAGGCTGAAAAGCGATGCAAAGTCCCTTACAGAGTTCAGCTGGGTCTGACCGCAGAGAGCAGAGGAAGATTAGCAGATAGGAGGGAGGTGCCAGGAAGATGGGAAGGTTCGGAGTCAGCCATTTAAACCTAGCAATATTTAGTCAGCCTCGGTTTGGAAGGAAAATGCCGTATATACTTGAGTATAAGCCAACCCAGATATCAGCCGAGGCACCTAATTTTACCACAAAAACTACATACAAAATGTGCTAAAAAAAACTAAGCTTATACACGGGTGTCTATGGTACATCACCCATCTAGTGGCTCATTTTCAGCTGTCCAAAGGTGGACGCTCTCATTCTCCTTTAACCCTTCCTTTAAAAACCTAGGAGGTAAACAAACAAACAAACAAACCTAGGAGGTGGGGCTAGGCAAGACAAGAGGTCCACGCAGGGGTCTCCCTGTGGGGTGTGGACCAGGACTCTGGTGAGGGGGGTATTTGTGTAGGGTGGCCACGTCACTTGGAACGGGGTGTCCGAGTCCAAAGGGTGAAAAAGGTCTCCATGTGATTCTAGAAATATGGGGGTGGGGTGGTACAAGAAGGCTGATTATGTGAGGATTGATCAACAGAGCAAAACATTGAGGTGTGTGGGCGCCATGGCCCACGGTTGGAAAAGGGAGTCACAGAAACAGAAACAAAATAACTAGAATGGATTTTGTAGGACTGAAGTCAAAGAGAGTATTGATCTGGACTCACTGGTCTCAACAGATAGGTGGGGAATGTAGCTGAACATGACCCATGTGAAAATACATAGATTCTCAGTTACTCAGAAAGCCTGGTAACAGGTCCTGATAGCAATCAGAACACGCCGCGTCTTGTTGCTGGTTCCGACACACCCCTCTGTGCCGAAGGGAGCAGGCCGCTGGGGAGAAGGGCCGCTTCAAGCTGAGGTGGAGCTGGCACAGCGAGCCAGGAACATCGTGTGCCCCGAGGTGCTCAGAGAATAATGGGGACACCTCTGTTTGAAGGGGCGCCAGGGGCCAAATCTGGGACAGTAAGAGCATCAAAATGCTAGTCCTAGATGATCACCATGGAATAAAATAGAATCCATGAGCCTGTATTAAGTAATGAATAAGGAGAGGTGGCTTTTCCTTACAGCAAAATGCCAAGAGTTGAAGGAATGAGAAAATCAGGAAGCCAGTGTTGCACGAGCTTTATAGCAACCATCCAGTGGAGCGCACAAGTTTGATGAAGAATGAGATACTAACACCTTTCTCAAGGGGAAGTTGGGCAGACCTCCCCTCCATGAACTGATCATAGGAACGTCACAATCCTGCAGCCCCTGGGGCATGTGATGGGGGTGGGGCACAGCATCATGGCCAGCACCTCCACCTAAAACCACAGCCCCCCACCCTGGGAAACAACAACAAAGGCTATTTGAAGGACAATCTACAAAGTTACAGTTTGTAATCTTCCTGTGTCAAGGGCACGAAAACACGAGCTGTTCTTTGCATAGGGCTTGGACTACAGTCTGACTCCACACGGCTTTTCACTAATCAAGTCTCTCTTTTTTAAAAATAGAAATCACTTCATTGGGGGCTCTTATTAAACAAACCATACATCAATTGTATCAAGCACATCTGTACATTTCTTGCCATCATCCTTTTAGAAACATTCTTTCTACTTGAGCCTTTGGTATCAGTTCTTTATTCCCTCCCCCCCTCGAACCCTTGATAAATTTAAAATTATTTTTATATCTTACACCATCCGCTGCCTCCCTTCACCCATGTTCCCCTGGAGTGGGGGAGGGGGAGTATTTATAGCTTATCTAGGTGAGAGAAAAAAACCATCGCCAGCTAGTCAATTCCGACTCATAGCGACTACCGGAGAGGCCTGCCCCCAACAGGGCTTCCTAGGTTGTCATTTGTGTAGAATCAGATTGCCACAGCTTGTCCCTGCAGAGTTCCTGGTAGGTTCAAACCACTGACCTTACAGTTAGCAGCAGAGCACTTAACCAATCGCCGATGCTACACGCGCACACACACCCTCGTCCAGCAGAGCCCTGGGGATGCACTTGATCAGTGCTCGGCTCCTAATCAAAGGTCAGCAGTTGAGCCTGTTCGCTGTTCCCTGGTGAACGACCAGGTGACCTGCGCCCATTGAGTAATAAAAAAAGACCCAACCAAACGCACTGCTACTGAGTAGATCCCAACTCACAGTGACCCTATAGCCCACACTGCAGAAGGCCTCATTTTCCTCCCAAGGAGCAGCTGGTGGTTTCGAACTGCCGGATCTTGTGGTTAGCAGTTGAGCACGTAACCACTTTGCCAGTGGGCTCCCTTGGAAACGTGAAGGGCAGCTGTCATGTAGGGTTACTTTGAGTCCAAACCAACACCGTACACTCAACCTCTCTCACTGCCATTAAGTCAGGCTGACGCTCAGTGACCCTGGGGGTTTGAGACTATAACTATTTACGGGAATAGACAGCGCAGTCTTTCTCCCACAGAGCTGCTGGTGGTTTTGAACTGCCGACAATGCGGATCACAGCCCAACACCTAACCACTACACCACCAGGGCTCCATAGGGCATACACTACTTTGTTATATTAATTACTATGATTTGTTATACCTTGTGGCGACACCCGTGTCAACTGCTCCACAGGGTTCTCTTGGCGGCTCCTAACAGGAACCAGTCATCAGGCCTTTTTCCTGGTCCTGCTGGGTGGGTTTGTGGACCACCCACAACCATGGCATCCATGCCGCTCGTCTATAAAGGCACGACTTCCTTCTCTGGAGACATCAGGACCAGTGGAGGGGGTACTGGAGTCTGGCCCCCTTTCAGGTCTCAGGGTTTTCTTTTTCCTGGTGAGAAAGACTCCCATTTCCTGAGATTTTTGGTTATTAAAATGAAAAACAACTTTGCTCTTGGTGCACTTCACTTAAACAAAACAATACAGCATTTATGTGAACTTGTAAGCTGACAATTCAAAATACAGGAATGTAGCAAAAATGTATTTGCTAAAATAAAGATCACACCAACAGAAACAAAAAGGTGGCAACTGAAAAAGACAGGACATCAAAGTGTAGCAGGGTGACCAGTGGTCACAGTGACGCAGTGCAGCTAAAATTAAGTCCCTTAAAGTCTTTGTATCCAACAGTTAAGGGCACCAACCGAAAAAGAGCATTTAAAAAGCAGTACCGAAGAATCTCTCTATTCACTAGGTGCTTCGGGGGAGTGTGCTTAGAAACATCTATGGCCTTAAGTGGAGACCAGGACCCCGTCCTTCAGTGGAAACCCCATTTTGAAGCTCTTTAGGGGCTTTCTGAGTCAAGTAAACCTTCATACAGGGATACAGTTCTTCCCCCTCGAGCCTCCTATGTTAGTTATGAAACTATTCATCTTCGCATTTACCTAGCCGAAGTACGTGAACTCCAAATACCGTAGTAGCACAACGAACATTCCAACCACTTTATTATCATCTACAACACACTTACATGGGGACAGAGTCTCGAGGCTCTCTAACGTTAAGAGTCCCACAGATAAAAGTTCTCATTAGAATGGGGAGACAGTCTCTGAAAAAGGATGTATTAAAGAGCGTCACACATAAAAAGCAGTTGAACTGTTAGAATCTGGATAAAAAGTAACGTCCCCGAGGTTCGCGAAGGCTGCTGGAGTCCTTGGTTGGCTCGCCACTAACGTGACGTGGCTTGTGGATGTCTGCTGCAGGCGGGACGCCCCAGCCCATGTGGAGGGGAGCCGGTGCCTCTCAGCCGGTGCCTCTCAGCCGGTGCCGGACAACAGAGGCTTGCGATATTTGCACTGAATCCAGACTCGGTACATGGTCAGCTGCTTCCCCCGGTTGACTTGCAGCCGGCGGTCAACCAGGTTCTGAACTTTCTCCAGCCCGGCAGCAGTGAAAAGGGTGTCCAGTTCATCTAGTGAGGAAGAGAGGCTCCCCTTGCTCCCCGAAAACGCATTCTGCCTGCTACTCTCCACCCGCCCCCAAGCCCCAGGCAGGGCAGGCTCCCGGCTGATGGCTGCATTGCCATGTAGCTACTTTCAGAGGCTCAGCAGGGCTGAATGTGGTGGCTGGGAGAAGGCAACTGTGGGCCTGGCTGCATGGGGGAGGGAAGGGGCAATGATGGGTGGGGGGTAATTTTTAAGGTGAACGGGGGCCAAGCAAGTCAGAGGGTCACCTTAAAATTACAAGCCAAGCCCCTGCACACAAGAATGCCAAGGCAGCTTCAAAGGCTCAAGCGGCCCAGCAGGTGGCAGACACCTCGTGGCCCAAGAATGGAGGCTCTGTAGAAGGAGGAGAGCTGGGGGCTGGGGCAGAGTCCCAGCAAACAGATGGTTACACTGGAACCCGAGAGAAAAGCACTCATCCCAGCTCAGTTTCCCAGGTGGACCAGGTGGGAGAGGGGAAGGGCAGAGGCGGAGAGGGGGAGGGGTGGGCACATGACCAAGCCTATTGGAGAACAGGGAGCAGTGGAGTGAGAGGCAGAGAACGCAGGGAGGGGTAGGGCCAGATGAAGTGACTGCTCCTCTGCAAGGTTAGGGACCGCAGGTGGGCGCCTTCCTACCTTGTGTGAAGAAGTAGACTCGGGTGCCGTCACCTCTCACATAGAAATGTTCTGACAGACACTGACCTGCGGAGTGACAGGGTCAAACTCAGGAACAAGTACCGCATTTCTCTGAATGTCAGGGTCACGCACATGTGCACTGAGGTTGGAATTCCCGGGGTCGAGGGACCCAGTCCTTTCTTGGGTTTCAAATTGCCATTGAGTGGAGTCTGACTTACAGGACCGGGCAGAACTGCCCTTGTGGGTTTCTGAGACAGGAATGCTTTATGGGGGCAGCAAGCCTCACCCTTCTTCTTCCACAAATTCAGTCTTGGACACCTGCAGGAGCACTGAGTCAGGGCACTGTCAGGGGCCTTGCAGGAGCCAGGACGGGCTGGATGGCAGTGGGCTGGAGATGCTCGCTAGGCAGTGTCTGGTGTTTTCGGAACAAGCATGTCTTTCATAAAGGACCAGGCCCCGCACACGTGTAAGACAGTAGGCCCCGACGGGAGGTAGTCGGCACCTCCCCTGTAGATGGTGTGTGAATCCCCTTTCTTCAGTGTCTGTTTGGAAGACTGATTTGCACACTGCGTTCTTCGCCTAGGAAGACGGGACAGGAGTCCTGCCAGGTGTGGGGTGGCCCTGGAAGTGGCTTGCACACACGCTCTGGACTTGATTCTATTTCTATGGCGTCTTTCCCACGAGGAGGAGGGGTGGAGTGAAGCGACAGTGGCAGGGATGAGGCCTGCCTCCGGGTTCTGCCAGCAGTGGAACCCCCCCCCTCCGGCTGCTCAGCAGCAGCGTTCAGGAGTGGTTCTCCCAGCATCAGTTCCCTGACCACCTCTGTCCACACATTTGCCAATTTCATGGCTTTTTGGATGTGTAATGCAACGCATCCATTCTATCTGCACGAGCCCTTACTGGCCACTGACCGTGCGCTGCTGTGAACAGATGCGCAGTGCTCCTCCCCATTTCGATTTCCCTGACCGGTTTGCCGCCAGCAACTTGAACAGCATGAGCATCAGTGAACCCGTGATCTGTGACACGCACAGAAGAGATTTCCTCGGAATGATTTCTTTTAACAGAAACCTTTTGAAGTTTACTTTTTGCAGCTGAGATCACCCACAGCACACACCCCGAGTCCAGATACGACCGGTGGCTTCGTGGCTCTGGGATGCTGAGCTGCATCACCTTGCTCCCCCTCCGCCTGGCTACAGAGGCTCACTGGGTCCTGCATTTCCCGCCGGCCCTTGCTGGTGGATCAACTCTCTGCGTGGGAGGAATGTGGGGCTTTCTGCTTGTACACGGCTGCAGTCTGGGAGACGCCTGGGCAGCTCTTCCCTGCCCTGTCGGGCAGCCGAGTCGGCAGCAACCCCATGACACTGCGTTTTGAATACACACGTGTAAAGTCACTTATGTAATCAACTGTCTTCCCTTTGAACATGTTGCTCAGGCTTGGTTACAAAGATCTAGACCACAAGCCCTAGGTCACCCGACTGTTGTCTTCTGCAGACCACCACCTGTGCCGTCTGGTCATTCCTTTATGCTGACCCACAGACCTTTCCGGAAGCGAAGCTGCGCCATGTCATAGCGGCCGTAGTCACGCAGCAGCATCATGCCCCCCGGCCTCAGAAGCTGGCTCAGCCTGCTGATAGCCTTCTGCATCCTGGGGGCGGAGGGAGGGCACATCGATCAGATCTCCTTAGGGGCAAGGCTCATCTGTGTGGGAGCTCCCAGAAGCGCCTGGCCCCGTGCACCCATTAGATCCAAGCAGGTGCCAGAATGCCCCTCACCTGGGCCTCCTGAGCCCGCAGAGCGGACAGCACCTGTGCTGAAGGCAGCTCTGTGAGAGGACTTCACATTTGCTCCCTGGCCTGAAAGAGTCCTGACCACCCAGCTGGGGGGAGAAGGGGTTGGCGGGAAAGGGAGATACACCACTACTGATGCACCTCCACACCCAGGCGGGAACTCTTTGATGCAGCACCTGCTACCCTTCTGGCTGCAGTGCCCAGGGTGTTTAAGAGAGTTTGCTAAATGAAGATTTAGTCTCAAGGACTTATCTACATGGTGGTACAGTCCGTAGTGCTGTTTACAGGTACCCTTTCATAACATGCCCCCAAAGTCCAGGTACAGAGTTCAGCTTCCAGAGAAGACAACCGGTGAGTTACAAACTTAACAGAAATGTTACTTCTAATTAAATGTTTGACAAAAGCCAGGATCGGTAAATGTATAGAGAGCAACTGGATTAATGGTTTCTTGGGGGTAGGGCAGGGGGAGGCCAAGGGGAAGTGAGGAGCTAATAACAGCGTGTTTAAGAAAACACTTTAAACTAGATTATGGTGATGATTGTATAACTCTTTTTGATGTGACTAAACTACCGAATTATATGCCAATAAAACTCAAAAAGAAAAAAAAACTTAAAAAGAAAAAGGTAAATGTTTACATTTGAAATGATGAAACTTTTAGTGTTATGTTTCAGTCCATAGGGTTTAAAAAATTTGTAGCATTTAAATGCCGTCATTTTACCCTCACAGTATCCTTAGATGGCTGGATGAGTTCTGTAGGAAACACAGCTGAAGTTCAGTTACTCGCCCAAGTTGGGGCCAGCAGCGAGCCCAGGCTCTGGTCCTGGGCTCCTTGCAGACCCCCGGCATGTGTCAAGCTCCCGTCCCGACCTAACTGGCATCAGGAAGGAGGGGCTCTGGTGGCATCCGAGGGCGCCCCAGCCGTGACGAAGGCTTTCCTTGAGCCAGCGGTTGCACAGGGACCAGGTTTGGGCAGTACCCTTTCAGGGACAGCAGCTATTTCCTCTCCAATCCCAATGGCATGGGATCCGCCTTTCCATTCCCTTACCCCGAGCAGGGGCTAGCCACGGGCCGTTATCTAACAGTGGCACCGCAGTTCCCAAACCACCTGCTGGGAGAGTGTACGGGATTTCTCCACCTTTCCATTCACGCTTCCGCCCTTGTTCTCCGGGGTGATTTAATGATAATCCGAGGAAGGGGCAAAAGTTGGGCCTAACAGCAAACAAAAGAAACCGGTTGAGATGCTCGGGTACATGGCCATGCAGCGATGGAGCAGACGGCTGCTCTCTTGGGGCCCAGCCCGGAGCTCCATGCCCCCACTCAAAGCAGCGTCGTCTTCTTACACGATTGGTTCGGGGAGGGACGGAACACTTACTTGTCTGGAACAATTGCCGAGAGAACAAATATGAGGACGATGACATCGAGACTGTCGCTGGGCACCGGGTAGCTCTGCTCTTCATCACACAGGTCGTGCACAAAGGCCAGGCACCGAGAAGGGTCATACTCCGGATTTGTCTGCAGCGACAGCGGGAGAGACGCACAAACGGGCACGCTGAGCTGACCATGGGAGGAGCCGGTGGGTCTGACACAACCAGACCGAGTGGCAGTGTCAGCTGCCGGGGCTGGCTCCCCCACGCGCCGCTGCAGGAACCACCCGTCGGTTCCGGCCATCGCGATGGGGCATGCCTGGCCCTCACCTGCTCTGGACCCAGCAGAGCAAAGCACTTTGGGGAGGGGGATAGGCAGACTGGAAGTGGACACCACAGGCTTTTAAAACAGAACCTTGCTGACTCTGCTTCCCTGTCCCTTTGGGCTATGCCGCCTGGTCTGCCTGGCTCCTGCTGACAGAGCCACTCCCCAGGGCCGGAAAATGACGGGGAAGCTCTGGAGGCAACAGACATTTCACATGGGACGGAACGTGTTTCCTAAGCGTGACTTAAAAAGGCTCTCAACCAGGGAAGGCTGGCAGTCAATAAAGTCTTAACATAACTGGCCTCCCATTATCGACAGCCAGTTCTGGGCCGGGCTGCTGTGGAACCAGACACTTCTCAGGGTATCCACCCCTCTCCCGGCCAGACAATGGGACTGGGTGCCCAGTGGCCATTGGCAGCCCAAGCAGGGGAAGGGGGGTTACCAGCCGGGCAGTGACAACCGGCCACGCTTCAGGAGCTTTGGTAGCAGACAGCTATCCCTGGGGAGGGAGGACCTATGAGGGAGCACGCGTGAGCACCGGGCAGCGAGGGGCCACGACAATGTGAGCCGGCCAGGGCACCCACCCCCAGCTTTATTGTGTTTTCAGTAAAAGTTGAGAGCAAACGCGGTTCCCATCCGAGTTTGTACAGAAAGTGCTCCTGACACCGGCTGCGCCCCTCGGGGAGTCAGCACCTGTTCCCACTGTGTTCCCTGAATCCCTCTGTCTCGATTTTC